TTTATGGAACTTGCCATTTCCATTTGGAGGCAGCAGTTCTTCAATTGAAAGTGCAGTGGTTTTTTTTTTTAGTTGTCTTTTGTCACTTGTAAACATCCAATTTTAACATTGGTCTAAGATATTCCTGTATCCTGGTGGCTTTCACTGGCAGCAGGAGATACAATTCCTTCCTCAGCAAATTTGCAGAAGTGATACATATTCTCTGCTGAACAGATTATCTGAAGCAGAGATCTTGAAACTTTTTCATGCTATGGAACTTTTTTAAATTATTGGAAAACCTGATCAAGAGGAGTGGCATTTGAATATACCTTGGCATCCCATCCTTTTCCCTGTACATTAAAACAATATTCTGCTCCGAGTGTGTGATTTCTTTTTAAAAGTTCTTTTTAGATCAGATGGAAAAATAATGCCAAAGACACTCTGGATTGCCCATGCTTTTAAAAACCCTTTTTCTCTTAGCTCCTGTCTGAGATTTTGCCCCCTCCCCTCCCTTAGTCTCTTGTTTAAAGGACTAAGGGAAGTTCTCTCTGTGAGGGATTAAAATTACAGTTTATTTATATGTCTGTAAGATTTATATAACTGTGTAACTTTGGGTTACTCATAAGGATTAACAGAAACAAAAACCCAATAAATAACTGCAGATGCCCAATGATAAACAGAAAAGATATGCTACTAATAGGGGAGGTCATCTATCTACGTGAACCAGGGGCCTGTCGTCTTTATCAGGTAGACAAAACAAGAGACACAACCAGATATTTTGAGAGTCTGAATGTACAATATCATCTTTATAGTCCAAGAACCTAGGGAAGTTGCCTTCTGAGTCTCTTACTCCTCCCTCTGTACAACTGTGGGCTATGCTGCCTCTTATCTGACTATTCTCTAGGCAACATCTGTTCTCTCAATCTTCCTAGGTCAGGGGTGTCAAACTCAATTTCATTGAGGGCCACATCAGGGTTGCGGTTGACCTCGGGTGGCTTGGTGGTCACTGGGTGGGTGTGGCCAACTGGGTGGGCATGGCTAGCTTGACGCCATTCCCCGAACCGCTGGCATGTTTCCTCTTTGCATTGACACCACGGTGGCCCGATATTTCATCTTCGCATTGGGTAGACCGGGCGGAAGTGACGTGGGCCCAATATTTCCTCTTTGCATTGGATAGACTGGGTCAAAACAACACAAGATGGCCCCTTACATTTTCCAGGATGGCCCCATGGGCCAGATCCAACCACATTGTGGCCCAGATGCAGCCCACGGGCCTTGAGTTTGACACCCCCATCCTAGGTCTTTCCTCACATACTGGGACAAGATATAGAAAACAACTAAATTTCTATACCTTGCAAAAAGTTTACAGGGTTGAACTATCCAAATCTCAGGGGGTGGGGTGGAATTTGGATACTATCCAAAGCATATCAGATTCCAATTACAGCAAACAATATTATGTATGCATGTTTCACTCTATTCATATATTGTCCAAAAGCTATCAATTTGTGTTTGTGCAGTAGTCTGCACATCTCTGTTTGTCATTCTTACATTGTCCTTCACTAATTTTCTGTTCTTGTCATCAAATAATGCTTTTATATTTATTTATTATTTTGCCATGGGTATCTATGAGCTGGCTTCTGCTTAAATCCCATATTAAAGAGATATTGTATAAATAGTAAGCCATTCTTAGGTCTCTAATTGGGCGTGCATTTTTCTTTATTCCCATTCACACACCACCGAGCCGTGGTGCTGGCTGCTGGCTGAAGTTCGGCAGTTCAATTCTCACTGGTTCAAGGTTGACTCTGCCTTCCATCATTCTGAGGTGCGTAAAATGATCTGGGTTTGGGGGCAGATTGTTGGGGGCAATATGCTGGCTCTGCAAACCACAAAGAGAAGACTATAAAGCACTGTGAAGGAGTATATAAGTCTAAGTGCTATTGCTATTGCTTATGATACCTAGAATTTTTCTTCCTCTGGTTCCCATCAATTCAAAATATTATATAATTTCCCTCCCAATTCCTCTCCGATTGTTCAATTCAGTGAATCCAACGATCAGCATTCCCAGCAGTATAACATATAACTTTCACTTTCTTACTTTCATACTACTTCAATAATTAATACCAATTCATACTTTCTGACATAGAACATATAGCTCTTTGAAGAGAGATGTCCTATGATGCCTTGGGATTTTAAGCCAATGGCAGGAAACCTGTGATATTATGGAATTGGAATATCCATTGCCTGTGAATTGTGCTTAATATTTTGTTGAATATAACAGCAGCTCGAACCCATTTTCCAGATAAATAAAATTTAGTTTTTGTTTTTAAAATACAATCTTGCAATTGTAAGATACTTTCAGTATGTTTTATATCTTGAAGTCTTTTGATAACATCATGATGTACAAATACCTTCTATATATTTCATTTCTTATGGATATTATAATATTAAGTACATTATTTCATAAAAATAATTCAAAGTAAGAATACTTCTGAATAAGGCTTGTTGATTATAATAATCTGATATGAAATATTTTCAAATGCAGAGTTCAGAGATATAATAAAATATATTTGCATGTCTACATTTAATACTTTTTCAAAAGCTATAGCAAAAAAAAAGAATTTGAGAATATTTTATTCAAACTGAAGGGCTTTTACGAATTTAGTGCTTTTCACATTTATACATATATTTTAAAACTGTGTTTCTTATTACATTTTTTTTTACAAAAATGTTGATTAATTCAAATTAAAATGAAATTATTGTAATATTAATAAAACCAAGATTACATATGGCCAGGAATATTTCACCTTAGCCTTACGTATTAAATAGAGTTCTGATGATTTTTCTCCAAATGGCCTTCACATACACAACAACCCTTGAAGCAGAAAGCACAGGAGAGGTTATTATGAAAAGCTACTGAAATGTGTACATTTTAAATAACAAGCCTACTTTAAATCCTTTTCTAGTAAAAGAACCCATCAGAATTCTTGCTACGTAAGAAATCAGTAATATATTTACATAAATGTTAACCTACGAATTCTGTAAACATTAGGTCATGATTAATTAACAAATAATTATTGGCTTTGGTAGTTGTGGTGGATGTCTGAAGAACTGTTTCCACAATGCGGCCTATCATTTGAAGAAAGAAAGGTTCACTAATAAATCCTAATACACGGTTTTTTTCCATCTTAGCAACTTTAAGGTGAGCAGACTTCAACTCCTAGAAATCCTCAGTCAGCATAACCACTACTAAGAATTTTAGGAATCTCCAAGTTGTTGAGGTTGGGAAACAGTACAACCTGCGCATCTCATGTTACCTTTTATTTACACTTCAATATATGTGACAATTACATCTGTTTAATTTTTTAGACTGTAGAGCAGTGTTTCTCAACCTTGTCAACTTGAAGATGTCTGGACTTCAACTCCCAGAATTCCCCAGCCAGCGAATGCTGGCTGGGGGATTCTGGGAGTT